TTTAGCTGTGTATTTTTCCTAATTTCGAAAAATCGAAAGTTGAGAAAAAATAAAAAGAAAATTGTTTTGTTTGTCCTAAAGGATGGTACCAAGCTCCACTCCCACAACCGGTTTCTGGAGTGGAGCTTGGTTCCCCCTTTACGATAAGCAAAACAATTTTCTTTTTACTTTTTTTCTTCTACTTTCGATTTTTCGAAATTAGAAAAAATACATAGCTAAAGGCAAGAAAATATTATTCATTAACTATTGGTTTATATTGCTAACAAAAATTGAATGATTGCTAGTGCAAATATTTAACCGGTTGGTATAGAGTTATCAACTGCGGTGGAGCGATTACCATTTGGTATTAATCGCTAAGTACTGAAGTAATATGGTCGAATGAATTTTTTATCTCCTTCAGATGCAGCGACCGTTTCTATTTAATAGACCGCACATACTGTGTTGATAATCGTGTTATCGGGTTCTTTTTGCCCACATCTAGTTGTGCGAGTGGCATGTGTGCATTGTGTAGTACCGGTATTTAGAATTATGTAAAATACTCGTTAATATGTAAGTTATGTTATAAAATATATATTTTTAATAATTATTGCTGAAATTTTAATTTACCATTACATTGAAATTACAAGGGCATATAACGTATACAGGGTGTTTCAAAAAACATGTGCCAATTCTCATGGGGAGATTCCTCTTGTAAAAATATGAATTAATTTTCAAATTAACATATGTCCGATTCTTCTTTGTTTCGTAACTACAGGGGATTAAAATGTTCATCTTTTTTCGATTGATTATATTTTTTTACCAAGTGTTTTTAGTGATTTGTATGAAATTTTGAGGGTAAAGGATACTATAAGTGGGACATATTTTAATGCTACAAAAGTATCGACATATTCACCAGGGACGTGCATATGGGTTATCATTGGATTATTTTTCTTAAAAAATATGTGCGCCACTGATTTTTTTTTTCTTTCGCTGGAAAATTTGTATAGACCGTTAAATGCTGATTAAAAGTTTCCTTTTGATATTTTATCGATTTCGGTCTCATAACGCAATTTAATTAATTTGCCTTAATCCAATTCAAAAAATTTTAATATCATTAACTTGCCAAACTGTTAAATAATTAGGTACCTCATTGATTTCTAATCAAAAAATATAAAAAAAGTTCCTATCAACATGGGTGCCGAAATACATAGTTTTAAAATTACAATATATTAAAACTTTTAAAAAACATGCCTTTTGTTACCATTATGGCCTTAAATACCATTATTTTTTTGGAGTATTTGCTGTAGGTAGTGTTATCACTGTATCAGTGTTTTAAATTTCAATAAAATTTCATGTTGATATGAAAAATAAATCTTATTTTTACGTGAGGAATCTCAGCACATGTTTTTAGAACTACCCTGTACAAAAGCTTATTATTTCACACACTGAAAAATATATTATTTTAATTTATTTTTAAATATATATTATCTTCCACTTTTTGAAAAAAAAATCATTTAGGCTACTCCTAAAACACTTAAATAAACTGAAGAAAATTAAATGTTTATTTTTCTTATGTAAAATGCCGCTGGATTAAAACTCTCAATTTTCTCAGTGGCTTTGCTATTTGAATTAAAAATAAAAAAAAAATATTTGCTTATAGATTTATATGTTAATATTTGAATATAAAAAACTTTATTAAAATATACTCTAAGAACTATGAAGGATTTATCTATATTTGGTTGAATTAGATGTTATCTGTTTTTTAAGCTATGGGGCTATCAGGGTTTTATAATTATTTTCTGAGCCCTGCGTCAGAAGATTTAGCAAATATTAAATTGGATTTTTTTAATATAAATATCATTTTTAATGTAATAATAAGGACCTATAAAATTTAAAGATTTTTGTTCTCTATAGTTTTTCTGTTGGTCAGAAGCAGATGCAGATATTTTGAATTTTGAATAATGCCCATAAATGATGTCCCTCTATATGTTTTAATATGCAAAAAACGCAACGGGGAAATTTTTGGTCAAATTTAAAGTGTTATATTTTTGTTATTTTTAGTTCTATTATCATGAATTTTTAGCAACCTGTAAGTAATTACATCGACTTTAATATCTAAACTCAGTTTTTTCTAAATTTTAGTATTTGGCATATTATACAGGGTTAATCGAGGAGTTGTTTTTTTACCTTAACTTTAAAACATCCTGTGCAATAATTTCGTGTGTAAATTTTCTTAAAATATAATTTTACGGTCAGAACCATGTCTCCTCAGCATTTTGTTTTTTTGATCATGTCAATATATGCCTTGGTTAATTTTTAAGAGCGAAATGAACTTGACATCAACAATTTGCAAATTTTTCAATCATCATTTCTTTTTGAAGTTATTTTTCAATATGAGAAGCCGGCTTTGGTGATTATTGTAAACTATATACTACTATGAACCGCCCATCATGTTCGACGTTTGGGACTTACTTGGCAGGAGGGTTAGTGGTCGCGAAGCAGTACCAGCTTCATTAAATGAACTTCGCTTGGTCCTTAAAGAAAAATGGGAAAGCATAACACAATACGATATAATATATCATTGTCATTGACAATATCAATGGACGTATACAGGCAGTTATAGCACCCAAGGGAAGCAATGCAAAGTATTAGGGTATTTTTTACATTTTTCTTTTCTGTTTGTATACTTAAGTATTACAGATGCTTTCTTTAATTTCGTTAGTTCTGTTATCGTTATTAATGTTTATTAAAATCTGCAGTGTATCGTTAGCCTTAAATGTTTTTTATTTATTTATAATATAATTATAAATAATTATAGAATTATAAATTTAGTATAAAGTATCCATTGCAGGCGTAATATGATATTACGACGATAGTAACCAAAACCATCTCCACATATTAAAAAATTACATCAAAAAGATAATTGAAAAAATTGCAAATTGATCGTGATTAGTTCATTTCGTTCTTAAAAATTAACCAAAGGATGTATTGACATGAATCCAAAAACAAGATGCTCAGGAGTCATAGTTCTGACCGTAAAATTATATTTTAGGAAAATTTACACACGAAATTATTGCACAGGGTGTTTTAAAGTTAACGTAAAAAAACAACCCCTCGATTAACCCTGTACAATATGCCAAATATTAAAGTTTATAAAAAACATAGTTTACGAATTAAAGTTGATATCATTATACACAGTTTGCTAAAATCATCAAATAGGGCTAAAAATAACAAAAACATAACACTTTAAATTTGATCAAAAATTTCTCCGTTGCTTTTTTTTGCATCTGAGTGTATATTAGTGACATGTTCCTTTTCTCATGATTTTTTTCTTTTGAATTACTCTGTATAATAAATTTTAACAACTTTAATTAATACAGGGCGAGTGTTAGTGCAAATTATAATTATTAATAATATAATTTTTTTAGTAATATTATATAAGTACAAATATTTTTAATGGTATATAGTATATTCCCACCCCAGAAACAGATCTATTAACTTTTTTCCTAAAAGGAAAATTGAAAACTAGGGTTTTTTTTATTTTTAGTTAAAAAACCTAAAATCATATTATCTTGATAATAAGCTAGTAGATTAAATGTATAAGAGAGAAAACCCAGAAAAATTCCTAGTCGTTCTCAAAATTTAAGGATTTTTTTTTAATTTAATTTTCGAAGTAAAATAAGGCGGTTATTTTAGACCTGAAAACCGGTAAAGTAAAAATATGTTTCTTTTATCGAGATCTACCAGCCCTGGAAATATTTGCATTTATTTAAGATGTGGAAGATAATAAGAGATACGATAATTTTAAATTGTTTAATATAAAATATATTAGCCAAATTTCAGTGTGTAAGTATGCTAAAATTTGCAACATGTTTAAGAACCTTCTAGGTGTAAACAAAAAAAGTCAGTAAACGCCAAATTTACGATGTCAAAACGATGTGTACCGTGTTATAATTCAACACCATATTATGCAAAACTGTTTGTTAAGTAATTATTTAAACACTGATTCATGAAATGTAGTTGGTACTATAAAATCATCGAAAATCTTTATGTGCAATATTAAAATACATTTAAAAAATAATTTATTCATGCATGTTAACGACTACCATAATTTTATAAAAATGTAAACATTTTTTTATTAAATATGTATGTATATTAATTTTAATGACAATATTACATCTAAAATAATACTTTAGAAGAAAATTATTAGATTTAAACATATTACAATTTGATTAATTATTTTTTTTACCTAAATACAATATCTAAAGCCGGGCTCTGACAACTCGTGTACTTGACAAACATTTTTTATTGATATACAGGGTCCGATGATAATAAATAACTTAGTAGTTCGGTATAGTTGCCTGACGCACCCTGTATACCAGTAGCAAATGTTGTCAAGTATAGTTCATATCAAATAAACTTTTAGTCACGTGATTAAGCTTGACCGGCACAGCGTTGTCCACTTTTACATAATATTTTCTTTTAATCAAAATATTTTAGGAAACAAAAATAAATTAATTATAAATATATAAACAGTTATTATTTACATCAACAAATCTTACCTTCTTAACAACACTCAAGGGACATAAAGGGCCATTATTACCACTTCCCGTTCAAAAAATTCTAATAAAGTTGCGATGAGTTTTTTAGGGGTGGGGGTGGGGGGTTGGTAAGGGGGTAAGGGAGGGGGTTAAAATTTTAAAAAAATCGTAACTCCAAAATTACAGTAGCTAGCGAAACGCGGTTTTCAAATTAAGATTAGGAATAATATTTGCAACAAAATTTGTAATAACATCAAAATCAGTCAAAGTCGCAGTTTTCGAGATATTAATATATTTTAGTATATGGGCGGCTACCCGGAGCTAATTTCTTTTTGCTAAGACTAATACTGAGTGTGCAATTCAAAAAAAATATACCGGTACTGTATGCTCTGTATTTCTCAAACTAGATTTTTTTAAATAACAAGACCAACCAAATCAACATTTTTAAATCAAATTATTAATCTCAGTATTTTTTTCCAGGACAGAAATGCTGAAAAATGTATCGAACGGCAAATGGAAGAAATTTATTTTGTTATGTTTCATCGCCACAACAGTTTTCCTGACAATATCTTATTACGACACCGGAAAATTTTTAGCCTTTCAAGTTCTAGTCACGACGGAAACCAGCGGCGGCAAAGAAAATATTACTTCAGAAACCAATTCCACTCAAGGTAGGGTGTCATTAAACGTTAAGAAATCATAAGTTATTTATTGGAACGTTCTATTTTTGTTATAGCGAGTTTCCTAATCAATAAGACCGAATTCGTAACGTTAAAGGAAGCACTAAGGTTAAAGGAACGACATGTGACGCAGTCTGATAGAAGTGAAACTAATTCGCAGTGCCAAAATAAATCTGGTGTGGAACAATTATTTACTACAACCGTCAAACAACCTCCAGTAAATAGTAGGTATACAAATGATTGAACAATATGCAGAGGGAGCCACCTACATATTTTTTAACTGGTTTGAAGAGTAATAATTTTGTGTCCGTACCTAAAATGTACATTGACGGAGTTTTTTAAGTAAAAAATGTCTCTTGGTAAAAAGCGACGCTACGAGTAATGGTTGTCGAGATATTTGGAATCGAAATTATCAATACCTGTCATCATTGACATAAATTAAACATGCTGACTAAATAGTTATTAGCCTGAAATCATAAATTTGAAACGTTTTTTTGCCAAAAGTCCAACAGAAACTGTTTTATCATCATTTTTTGGCAGACAAATTATTTATTATTAATTTAAAAAAATAAAAGTTTCCCAAATTTATTATTTCAATCAAATAACTATCTCGCAACGTGTTTATTTTGTATCAATAATAAGATGTATATTTTTTTCTTTTTATTCTTGGCTTTAGGTCGTTGGGGTTGCAAAGATGTTACTAAATTTTGTTCATTATTTTATTTTTATGACGACGTTTTGACAGTATATATGTTTTAATTGTTTAGGGACATTACAGTTTAGTATAGTTTTATATATTAAATTAATATGTGTTATTATGCTTTTGTCCAATTTTTAATAATTTTAATTCTGTAGGAATCTACGTTCAAGGTAAGACTTTTTATTTTGACATTTTATCTTTTTGATTTTAACTGTTATTTATGTACTTAAAGGGAATTGAAAAAGACATATACTGTCGAAACGTCGTCATAAAAATAAAATAATGAACAAAATCTAGTAACATCTTTGCAACCCCAACGACCTAAAGCCAAGAATAAAAAGAAACCAGGTCAAAGAAACGAAACAAAAAAAAATAATAAGATGTATTGACTATTTCCATTCTAAATATCTTGAGAACGGTTGCTTGTAGTGAAAATCTATATTTTTTTGCTCAGTAGTTTTATACAGGTACGGACGAAAAGTTATTACTCTACAAAACAGTAAAAAAAAGTAGATGGCGCCCCCTATAAATAGTAGTCATATTGGCACCAAAATCCAAAATTATCTTGTCAAAAAACTCCCAGACGCCAATTTTCATCTAAATATTGACGTTATTTAAAAATTATTTAGAAAAAATCGAAATAAAAATGAAATTTCTATACCCTGTATCTTTGAACCTAACAGGGCCTATTTTACCATAAGGCCCATAAGGCCCGGGTTTTGGGCCCGGTAGTCTTGGGGACCCGTTAAAGGTTGTAAAATATTCATAATTTCTTGAATTTTTGAATTTTATTGAAAAAGAGGGCCCGCATTTTTGCTTGTGCCTTCGGGCACTAAGCCTTTACCAGATGAAAAATAGACCCTGGAACCTAAGCATTTTAAGACATACATTTATACAAACTTTTTTACTTATCTTTATATGTAGAATATGCTGCCGAAGTTTCCGGAATACAATTCGGACCACCCTGTATAGTTATCTATCAAAGGAATTATAAAATTATTAATTACCGAGAGTAAAGTTTATGTCCCGAGGGCCTATGGCCCGAGGGACAATAATTGTTCAAAAGAATTAAATAAGATTATTAACACTTTATTATACCCGTACTACGTAGATAATTTAATTTTTTATTAAATTTAGTATATTTTACCCCATTTCTGACTAAAATACTAACTAAGTACTTCTAAGTAAAAATAACAAAATTAAACAGTATATTATTTTAAAGTTTCAGATGATACGAGATACATAGTTTCGAGTTCCAAATGTAAAATCCTCAATTTGGAAACTTTTTCCCCCGATGCTGTCAAGTATTACAAAAAGTTAAAATACAAAGCGTGTAGCCAGAACAAACTACTGACGTACGTTGTGAAGGAAAATAACACGGCCACTGTGAAGATAGATGGGAATGTTATTGATCCTGCTGTCATCAGGTGCTGCTATTCGAACGTCAGTAGGAAGAAAAACGAAAAAGATCCTGACGGTTCTATTAAGTAAGTAATATAATAGTTTTTTTTTTTAAATATTTAATGTAATTGTTGCTCTTACTGTATCTATAATAACTGTGGCTATAAATATTAGGTATTTATAGTTTAAAATATTTCAAAATTATAATCGTTTTTATACAAAAAGTGAATGGTTTTCGAATGCACAGTTACAAAGTTCTGCATAGCGTTTTCGCTAGTATCATATCCTATAAACTCTATCTAGTATTCGTAAGGGATTTATTTTTGTAAACATGTGAACTATATGTTCTAAATAAAGTGTCATTTGGTATTATTATTTTGGTATTTTGGTATTTAGCAATATCTGGTCACTATACAGTGTTGTTACTGGTTGGTAAAGTGTTTTTCTTATGCTCATACAGAGTTTTTATTGACTCGGAAAAAGAATTGTTTCATTTTGAGGAATGTGCTACGGATCTGCAATACATCCTGTTCCAAATCATTAATAAATAATTCAACATCTAAGATACCCGAATTTAACTACTTGTTCTATGTCATTGCATTGTATTTTTATGTTGACTGGTGTCCTTTTTTTAGAAATTACCATGGCATTACATTTACGAATATTGATGTTAAATTTGTATTCGCTATCTCCTATTGTAAATATATTCAACAATTTTTGTAGATAAACTTGACTAACAGACTAACCAAATAGTATAGAGTGTTCAATATTAAAGGGAGGCCAGTGGGATCCCAAAACTAAAACTAAACAAAAACTTTGCAATAATTTGATCTCCTTTGTATATCTTATAGTTTCCAAGATGTAAACAAAATCCACTGTCCATTTTGGGACACCCTGAACATTTAGAAGTGGAAACTCCTTATTTCCCTCCATTATTGACCGAGATCTACCACACACTACACAACCGACTATTTTAGTATTTTTCAATAAATCATAATAGTGTCACTATTAACTTAAGTTCTGTCATACTTGCCTTCTAGATTTACTACTTCTAAACAACTACCAGTTGTAGAATAAATAATAAATAAAATAAAATAAGCTCAGTAAAGACAGATACCTCCATAAAATTTCAAATTAAATTCAAATCTGTCAAATAAATTGATAAAGAGAACTGTCATAGGTCCCCACCCTAGGTCCATCTCTACCTACTATGTAGGAGTACATGGACAGCATTATACAAGTAAATTTGCGGAAAGAACCATGTCTCCTGAGCATTTTGTTTTTTGGATATGTCAATGCATGCTTTGGTTAATTTTTAAAAGCGAAGTGGATCACGATTAGGGAATGCAATCCCGCAAATGCGGGATCCCTCTGAGATTCCGCGGGATCAAAGTTGCGGGAACCGCGGGATCGACAGATTACTAGTGGGTAACCGAATCGATCTCGATTAAGGTCAAACCGCTACGTTCCGGGCTGATGCGTCGACACTCGGAACCCGTGGGATTCCCCTTACGGCTTAGCAATTAAAAATGAGTGAAACAAAAAGGTTAGATTTCTTTCTGGCGTATGTGCGCAAGTGAAGAAAAGCGTTTAACTAGTACTTGTGGACAATTTAAATATAAACTGCCGGACATAATTATCGGGACAAGCAAAATTTTAGGGTAAATTTAAAGTTGAATATCTCTTGAACTAAAAAAAAAATTGGGATGCGGTTTGGATCAGGTTTTAGATGCATCTATTGTGATTAAGATGCTATGTGGTTTTCGAAAATATATTTAGCGAATTCTCGAATACAGGTTTTTTTATGAGAGTGTGAAAATTTAGTCAAGAATCTTTTTTACTGCAAATTTACAATTTTTAAAAAATCGAAATTTTTACCAAATATGACTAATCTGTATTGAAATTAGAAAAAACAATTTGATCGGTTTTTTATTTTTTTTTGTTTTAAGGAAAATACGACGTTTTTTCGAAAATTATGCATTTTTAGTCATACGTATGGCCCTAAGTGGAACAAAAAGCTTTGTACATTCTGCATATGCCAAAAAATTATTGATATAGAGTGTATCTAAAAGCAGATAACTAACACAACTTTAAAAAAAACTTCAACATCAGAATAACATTTTTATTTATAAAATAAGTAGGTAAGTTATAATAAAATTTAAGTTTATTTAATATTATTTTTTTTTTTAAGTTTGATCATACTGTCATTAAGGCTGATATATCTTATTGCGTTTGCCTCACCTACTCTTCTTTAATGACCGAGCGAAGTTCATTTAATGAAGCTGGTAAAGGTTCGCGACCTCTAACCCTCCTGCCAAGCATTTCCCAAACGTCAAACATGATGGGCAGTTCATAGTAGTACATAGTTCACAATAATCACCAAAGCTGCCTTGTCATATTGAAAAAAAAACTTCAAAAATAAATTATAATTGAAAAAATTGCAAATTGTTGGTGGTAAGTTCATTTCGTTCTTAAAAATTAACCAAAGCATGTATTGACATGATCCAAAAAATGAAATGCTCAGGAGACATGGTTCTGACCTTAAAATTATATTTCAGGAAAATTTACACACGAAATTATTACACAGGGTGTTTCAAAGTAAGGTTAAGAAACAACTCCTCGATTAACCCTGTATAATAAGCCAAATACTAAAGTTTATAAAAAACTGAGTTTACAAATTAAAGCTGATATAATTATATACAGCTTGCTAAAAAATTCATGAAAATAGGGCTAAAAGTAACAAAAATATAACAGTTTAAATTTGACTAAAATTTTCTCCGTTGCGTTTTTTTTTGGATCTGAGTGTGCATACAAAGCATGCCTATATTTTTTGTTTTAGAATAACTGACTGCAAACATTTCAAGAACAACGTTACCATTACCAAAGATGCTATTTTAATAAAATGCCACAAAATCCATTCGAAAGAAAAAATATACGAAAACGTCCATGCCTCCGTGCTGATCCGCGATGACGTCCAGAGAAAAATAAACGATTTCAACGGGACAATAAAACCTTTGAGTGTTATTTTTATAGGTATAGACAGCATTTCCAGACTGAATTTCGAGAGGAGTATGCCAGAAACTTACAAATACGTGGAAGACAATAATTGGATTTCCTTGAAGGGCTATAATAAAATGGATGACAATACTTTTCCCAATCTCATGGCGATATTAACAGGTAAGAAGTGAAAGACAAATATTTTGAGGCACAAAGTTATTTATCTGGTCTGTTTATTATATTCTATTAACTGCCAACATTTGCATTCAAATTTTAACTCTTTTGCTAATAAATACTTTGTTAAAACTAGGATTAAAACCATTAACTTAATTAAACGAAGATGCAACATGCTAAGCCAAATTCGTAATATTAAAGGAATAATATGTTTTAAAATGTGTCTGAATCCTTAATTTGACTGATTTGTACAGGATGTCCCATTTTAGTTGAAATCATACGGTATCTCCCTTAAGGTTATCGCCCACTAGACCGCGGCGCGGCGCCATGTGGAAATTTCTTTTGTCTGCTTGTCATGTTTTAAATGTACCAACGCACATTAGAGCGTGCAGCGCCAAAGCGCGCCGCGGAATTTCTGTCAAGAAGTCGGAATACTTCTCTAGCAACTTTTTTCCGCCTTCCGCGTTTCGGCGCGTTGCAGTGTGCGTGCTCACAACGGAAATAATTTTGCATTCGAGTCTCTTCAGTTGGCTTTTTGAGTAGGAACTGATGATACGTGTCAATGGTAGAATTGTATTTTTAAAGGTAAATTAGACAAACAGATTTTCATAAAAAAATATATTTTTTTAGTCTTCCCTCACTAGAGGCAGATGGACGAAATGTCTCTATCAAAGATTTAATATAATTGAGGGGTGTAGAAGCAAAGCCGGCAATCTCCACTCTTTGACAAAAGTGATAATCTCCAATTTTTAAATTCTAATTACCTAAATATATAAAAAAGATTAGGTTTTTTTCATCACATAACTAATATACACATCAGAATAAATAAAAATTATCAAAAGTCGTCACGTATAAGCGATTCATGATTGCATTATTAGTAATGTGTCTCTTCTGAAAAAATATGATGAGTAAGAGATACCCGGTGTTTTGCTTCTAAAACCCTCAATTGAGGAGTTCGTAAAATGTTTCCTTTATATTTTGTAATACTGAAAAAAATGCTTTTGTCTTTTATTAAATCAGGAAAAAGGTGGTAAAATTGTCCAAACTTCTTTCTTTTTTTTGTTAATCTTATGAGTCCAAACTTTCCTTTTCTTCTTCACCTGCTCTTCCTCTTCCTCTGTTAGAAGAGCACAAAAATACGATTTCGTCCGTACTTGAACTCATTGGTTTAAAAACTAAACTACAGTAAGTAAAAAACACTTCGACTAACTAAGTAGCGTTTCCGCGTTTCAAAAGCGCGCTATAGTGGGCGCAGTCCCTTCGCGGCCGGAAAAAATTCTCTTCCCAGCGCCGCGTCGCGCCGCGGTCTAGTGGGCGACAACCTTTATTCGTAAAAATAGAAGGGTGCGGTTTGCACAAACCTGTGCCACTTTTTTTGTCAAATGGGAGATGCCGTAAACAAAATTTTCATAGCCCTCTCCATTTCTGAGCTACAGGGTCTTTTTCAAAATTTTGCAATTTGAGACACATATTGTTAAAGGTATCGACACAATAAAAACTGTTTATTGTAGAACTTTTTACGTAGAATACAGTGGCGTAGTCTGTTGTTCTGCGAAAAGAATATTTTTGAAGATAAGTACTAAAGTTACGTTTTCTTAAAAGGATTTACCCTTTATATTTATAAATTATATGATCTGGCTTGCCATAAGCTTCTCAAAAATATATATAACTCTATATTTATTTTCACTATTTACTGCAATATTTAAAAAAATATATTAAAGGATCATATTTATTAGTATGCCATGATTGATAATAAAAGAAACTAATGAATTATTAAAAGTATACTGCTATCTGTCTCTTCTTTTATTTTGAAAGCCACTAATAAATCCTTTATTTATAAAGCTTGGAAGCTATCGTATCGGAATTTTTAAATATTCCTTTAGCTAATTTACGTGAAATATACTTTCAGTAAGATGGAGCTCCCCCTCACAATTTAACTTACAACGAAAATGTTAGAATGTTTGGTTTGGTTGTAGTTAAATTATTAATGGACCTTATTATTATATTACCGATTAATTACCAATGGACCCAGATGATGGCTTCCCTGATTCCCGGATTTGTCCGTTCTCGATTTCTGATTTTGGGGATTTTTGAAATCTGAAATATATCGTGGCACTAATACAATGTCGAACACCTAGAAAATGGTTTAATAATGCAAGCTTTTAGATATTTGCAAACGCATCCATTATAACGGAGATACGGAGCCTGTCCCAAATTGCAAAATTTTCGAAAGGACCCTGTAGCTCAGAAACGAAGAGAGCTATGAATATTTTGTTGTCAGCAATATTCCGTTTGACAAAAAAGTGGCACAGGTTTATGCAAACCGCATCCTCATATCTTTACTAATAACGGAGATACCGTATGGTTTCAACCAAAATGGGACACCCTGTACAAAATGTTGTTAAGGGAGGTCCAATAATAGAGAATAGCGTTATTAACTGTGATGCAGGAATTGTTAATTCTGTTTTGGATCAAAATTGAATAGATTAGTCAAAAAAGATTAGTCCTAAAATTTGTTATTTCTGTTTTGGATCATCATCAACCAGCCACTAAAGCCCGCTGCTGGACGTAGGCCTCCCTCGTTTGCTTTCATAACTCCCTATCTTGAGCTATTTGCATTCAGTTATTGTGGATACGCCTTAAGTCGTCCTGCCATGTGGTCTCCATTCTGTTATTTTCTTCGACATATTTTTTTGTAATTTTTTTTCTTGTTGCTATGGCTGTTGAGAATTCCACTGATAGCTCGATATTGCAACATTCAACTTTTGTTCTTATATATTTCAGGATTTAACCAAACCACAGCTTACAAAATCTGTAACCCGAGATCTATCGGCTATCTAGATAAATGTCCCATGCTGTGGTACGATTACAGAAATTTTGGCTATGTCACAGGATACGCTGAAGATGAAGCTTCGATAAGCACTTTCAACTACAAGAAAAAAGGTAAAAATATATTTTTATGATTTTCAGAGGTTATTAATAATAACTTAACGTATGAATTTAAAGAAATACTGTAGATAGCTTTATCATTTCAAATAGTAATTTCCAACCTCGTTGATATTATTTATTTTACTACTACATAGTTTATTATCCAATAAAAATATGTTCACGGTATACTAATATTTTTTTTTTAGGTTTTGTGCAACCTCCAGCTGATTATTATTTCCGGCCATATGTAATGGCCAGCGAAAAATTACAAAAAGTTACAATAAACGGAATGACGTACTGCACTGGTCCAGAAACTGCAGGAGAACGAATTTTGAATTTAGTTGAAGATTTTGCAGTAACTTTCAAGCAGAATCCCCATTTTGGATTCTTTTGGATGAACAGCTTTAGGTAAACTAAAATAGACAATTGACAGTGGGGACATTTCAACTTATATTTCATATAAATATATAATTTTAATATTATCAGGTGATTAATGTGGATAAATTATTTATAGATATGTTAATAAAATATTACTTATATGAGATTTATATGTAATTATAAATATTGCATTTAATATTTTTAATTTATCTATCGTATGCGATTTTTAAAAAATATTACGTATTTGTTAAATCTCCAAACTTAAGCTAATTGTTGAGTAACACAAATTTGCACGCATATTAAAATTGGAAAAATTAACATCCAACACTAATCACTCTCAGGTGACTAAGCTTACGTAGAACAAGAAAAACTACGTATGTATGATTCTAATATTAACGATAAACAAACAACATATTCGGAATGTAAGAACTTGGCTACAAATTGCAATTACAATTGATTATTATTAATTAAAGATGCATATTTTCGAATAATGCAATTCTAAATTTTTAAATAAGTATATTTTTTTTGATGGAATACATTTTTGATGAAATAATCACAAAATGGATAGATATAATAAAAAATGTATATAAAATAAGGAAAAAGAATACAGAATATTATCGATATTTTGAATTAAAATATTCACAAACTTTAAATCTGAATGTAAAAAAGAAGACGAATTAATGATTAATTAATGATAAATTCTGTCTATTGAAACCGTATTTTATTTCTTACTGAATTAATATAAGCTCATATCGTCTTGGTTACGCTAACCAATAACCTCACATATTTAGATATTCTCTTTGTAGTTGGGCCCATTGTTGTCTATTGTTGGCTATGCGGTCCCAGGTTATCCTTGCTAATTTCTTAATATCATGGTCCCATCTCAGGTTCGGTTTTCTTCTAGGTCTCTTAATTCCTTTTGGGTACCACGCTGTAACTTTTGTGGTCATTGCCATTATAGGGATTTGACTCTGTGGATCGCATCTATTACCTGGGTCTTTTGTTGTATCCACTCTATTTCTTACGGTCTCTCTTGGTTATTCTCAGGATATTTCGTTGCGGCACCTATAATTTCCTTATAATGTCCGTTTTAAGTCTTCAGGTTTGGCATGCATAGGTCATGACTCGTAGTACACATTGGTTGAATGTTTTCTACTTTAGATAGAGTGGCATTCTAGATTTAAATATGACTGAGTTTCTACCACAAGTACTCCATGCTAACTTAATTCTTCTGTTAATTTCTGGTAGTAGAGATCCCGAGCTGTGTATTAGTTGTTCCAAATATATATATTCTTCTACTATTTCCAATGTCGAGTTATTTATTAGAATCTCTTTTATTTCTACTAGTTTGTTGTACATTACTTTAGTTTTTGGTAAATTCATTTTGCGATCCACTTTATTGCTCGCTGCATTTAGTTCATTAATTTGTGCTTGTAGTTCTGCAGGACTATTGGCAATTAGAACTATGTCAGTAGCGAATCTTAGATGGTTAAGATATTCTCGAGGGCCAAACCGCTGGTGGTATTTATTGTACAAGCACTTGGTAATACTGGTTTTTTTTTTGGTACTAATTTGGTATTTTTAGTACTCATTTGGTATTATTTGGTAATAAACTGGTATTATTTGGTAATAAACTGGTTTGGTTTGGTATTAAACTGATATTAAACAGGTATTTTGTTGGACATCTGGCAACGCTGGATTAGACGCATGTGGCGACGACGCGCGACGGCCGGGAAGCTGATTGCATAATTTCTAGCCCATTTGCATTTAAAGTTAATACTGAAAAATATCTATATTTCTAGCCCCAAGTACATCTAAAGCTAATACTGAAAAATATCTGGAATCTAAAGATGCTTTGACAAAATCGTTTAGTTCTGGAAGTCTTTCAGAATATACCACTCTACATGTTTTGGAAACTGATTATACCCAAGAAAATAATATAGTTTCTAGAATACTAAAGCAATGGTTAAAGTCAAAAATTGGCGATGAACTCTGGAGCACTCTAAACTGCAATAGTCTGTTTAATAACATTATTTTTAGCACATCAATTTTACTTCCAAATTCTACTGCAAACTTGGCAAACTCGATTTCGGGATCGACTTTAATATGCAAAATAACCTGCTTTTGTGAAAAGCAAGTAACTTTACAAATAAAATACCATACTTCTACAAAAACCACAAAAACAAGCGTTACAAAGGCACGCTGGGTAAGCTCAAATTTTCAAACGCACTTGATAAAGCATTTTGATAAACAAATAAATTATTTATACCAAAAATTAGTAATAATCGCAGTGTTAAATACGAGGTTAAATCAGAGGTAGGCAATAATTCTTCAAATACCTCTGAGGCACAACCAAAAATAACTTCATTTCTAAAAAAGCCTTCTACCGAGCCTTCTACGGAAAATACCGAGGAAATTACAGAGGCATGCAAACCCTCTTGTAGCAAAATTTTATCCCCTAATCTAGTATGTGAAGCTCCCTGTAATCAAATAAATCCTAATGTAAAAATACTAGACTGCGTAATTATCCCCCCAACTAAACGAGCCTCGGAACTACCCTTATCAGCCGCCGCTTTAGCCATACCATCTACAAGCAATAATAATTATCTCCCCGATGTTACCCATTTACTACCATTATCCGCTGCCGCTTCAACCTTACCGTCAACAAGGAATAATTCCAATTTGGAAGTCTACAAAATACAGCCGCTCGCAAAGGAATAAAAGAAAAATTTAAAAGTTTCAGTATAATCAACCTCTTATAACCAACTTTATTTCGATATTAGAGAAAATAAATTCTACTCTTAAGGAAAATGGAGAAATATCGAAAGCTCTTAAGGAAACGATAACAGAATCAATGCCAGCAAACAAATTTTTAAACATGTTGCTTAAGACAGACTTTGGTACTAATTTGGTATTTTTGGTTCTAATTTGGTATTTTTTGGAAATAATTTGGTATTTTTGGTACTTTTTCCCCAAAATTGGTATTTATTGTACACCATTTTTGGCAGCGGTTTGCCCCTCGGATATTCTCCATCTATTTTTAATCCTTCGTTGGTCCAGTCCAGTTGACGGAGGAATTCTTTTAGTGTTGCTGTAAACAGCTTTGGAGATATCGCGTCTCCTTAACGTACTCCTTTCCCAATGGGAAACTCTGGTGTTGTTTTATATATAATTACTCTTGTTTTGACTTCTTTGTAAGGAACTTATTTTTTTTTTAAATTATGTTCAGATTTTCAAAGCAAATAAAAATTTGAATGATCTCAGCACAAATCGAACTTTTAGGTTTTATCCAGAAAATCACTGAATATATAATTTACAAAGACAAATATCTCAGTAGCCCTTAACTTGGAAACAAATTTGACCACTGACCATCAAAAATATTTAACGCTTGAATGTATATGTGTCTCTTGTAGGAATAAAAAATATATACTAATATATTTTAAATTAAAACTTCAACAAGAACTCTTTAGATTTTTGGCACAGATAATATGTCTATTTAACCGTTGAGGGTTCCTTTAGATTGCCACTGATTATATATAATTTTCATTAGCAAAATACACAACTGCTTAATATGCGCTAAAATATTTACACCTAAAATAAATGTTTCATATTTCTTTTTATTTTCAGTCACAATAATGTTAACTCTCCATCCATGATGGACTCTAAAACGAAACAACTCCTAGCGAACTTAGAGGCCAACGATGTCTACAACAACACTTTGATCATCTTTCTAAGCGACCACGGCATGCGTTTTGGTGACATCCGTCTCACCCCCACCGGCTGGCAAGAAGAACGCCTACCCTTCATTTATTTCTCCTTCCCCAACTGGTTTAAAGAAAAATATCCCGAACAATACTTGAACTTTAAAAGCAACACCAACAAACTAACTACCCCCTACGACCTTTACATTACTCTTCAACATATCTTAGTGTTATCTGGATTCAACTACACCATAAAAAACAGTGATGCTTGTCCCGAATGTTTGTCCCTTTTTGAAAAAGTTCCTTCTGAACGGTCTTGCGAGGAAGCAGGTATAGTAGATCATTGGTGCACGTGCGCAGGATATGTTGAAAAGAAACTGGAACCAGAAGAACAAGAAAAGCTCAAAAAGTTCTTTTTAGAAGAAATTCAAAAGATTATACAGTCTAGAGATGGGAATGATAAATGTATTCGGTATTCGGTAGAGTCAATCAGCACAAGGATATCGCAGAAATTTTCTTACAAAACGAACAGTTATGCTCTGGTTTACCTCAGGACGAATCCCAAAGCGGTGTTCGAAACCACGATTAGTTACGAAGGTGATATTATGAGTAGCAATTTAACGCTTGGTGATATAAGTAGGTTGGATTTTTACAATACTCACAGTAAATGTGTTTCGGACGATTATTTGAAAAAGTACTGTTTTTGTAAGAATTGAATTTGAAATATTAAAATAATTATTTATTTTGTTCCGTATAATTTGTGCTCAATCTACACTCAGATGCAAAAAAAAACGCAACGGAGAAAATTTTGGTCAAATTTAAAGTGTTTTATTTTTGTTATTTTTAACCCTATTTTTATGATTTTTTAGCAAACTGTGTATAACTATATATCAACTTTAATTCGTAAACTAAGTTTTTTATGAACTTTAGTATTTGGCATATTATACAGGGTTATTCGAGGAGTTGTTTTTTACCTTAACTTTAAAACACCCTGTGCAATAATTTCGTGTGTAAATTTTCCTAAAATATAATGTTGCGGTCAGAACCACGACTCCTGAGCATTTTCTTTTTTGATTCATGTCAATACATCCTATGGTTAATTTTTAAGAGCGAAATGAACTGATCACCATCAATTTGCAATTTTTTCAATTATCATTACTTTTGATGTAAATTTTTAATATGACGAGATGGTTTTGGTGACTATTGTCGTAATGTCATATTACGCTGCATTGAATACTTTATACTAAATAAAAAAACGTTAAAGAGTAACGATACAGTCCTGGTTTTATTAATCATTAATAACGATAAAAGAACTAACGATATTAAAGAAAGCATCAGTAATACTTAAGTATACAAACAGAAAAAAAAATTGTAAAAAATATCCTAATCTCGATCCTAATACATTGCATTGCTTCCCTTGGAGGAGCTATATATAAAATAGCTCTAAAATTCTCATGGCTTGATTGGCTATCTTTCTCCAGTTGTTTCTGTCTTTCGCCTTTATTCTCCACCCATCCACTCTTATCCTTCTCAAGTCCTCTTCTACGTCCTTTTTCCATCTGATTCTCGGTCTACCCCTCTTTCTCTTTCCACTTATTTCACGTTTCATTATCATACTAGGAATTCTTGCTTCTGCCATTCCTTCAATGTGTCCCAGCCATCTCAGTCTTTGTGTTCTTGCTACTCCCGTTATCCTCGGTGCCCGATATAGTTGCTTTACTTCTTCATTTGTTCTTCTGGTCCATATGTTCTCTATCTTCTTTCCTCCAAAAATCTTCCTCAGTATTTTTCTTTCCTAAGTCTCTAGCCTCGAACTTTCTGTTGCATTGAACGTCCACGTTTCACAAGCATACAGCACTATTGATCTTATCATTGTATGGTACGTTCTGATTTTTAAACTTCTAGAAATGTTCTTACTCTTAATGATTTTCTGTAATGCGCTGACACATCTATTTCCTGCCATTATTCTTGCCATAATTTCTTGAGTTACATTTGGATTCTTTAGAAATACTGCTCCCAGATATGTGAATGTATCTACTTCCTCAAACTTGTATCGTTTACCTCTCTCAGACTTCAATTGTAGACATCTTCCCTTCTCAAATCTTTATCTGACCACTCCATAAATTTCGTTTTCTTCTCATTAAACACTAAGCCTACTTTTTCCGCTTGATTTTCTAGTCTTTTGGTCACCGATATCAGCTCTTTCCGATCTCTTGCTGGAGGAGCTATAACTACCTGTATATGTCCGTTCATCCTGTCATTGAGGCTGCATATATCATATTGGCGTATGCTTTCCCATTCTTCTTTAAGAACCAAGCGAAGTTCATTTAATAAAGCTGGTAACGCTTGGCGACCTTTATCCCTCCTGCCAAGCATGTCCCAAACGTCGAACATGATGAGCAGTTCATAGTAGTATATAGTTCACAATAATCACCGAAGCCCCCTTGTCATATTGAAAAATAACTTCAAAAAACATTATAATTGAAAAAATTGCAAATGGGCGGTGTCAAGTTCATTTCGCTCTTAAAATTTAACCAAGACAAATATTGACATGATCCAAAAAACAAAATGCGCAGGAGACATGGTTCTGACCGTAAAATTATATTTTAAGAAAATTTATACACGAAATTATTGCACAGGGTGTTAAGGTAAAAAAAAACCAACTCCTCGATTAACCCTGTATAATATGCCAAATACTAAAGTTTATAAAAAACTGAGTTTACAAATTAAAGTTGATATAATTATGTACAGGTTGATAAAAAAATCATAAAAATCGGGCTAAAAATAACGAAAATATAACCCTTTCAATTTGACCAAAAATTTCTCATTTGCGTTTTTTTTCGATCTGAGTGTAATTTGACAACATTTACTAAAGTTTATTCGACGTCAAGATATACTAAACAGAAACAAATACATGAACCATGCAAGTGATCGTAATACTGTCGTAATACATTATAATATTAATCACATATTAGTAGGATAATATTGCAGAAATATAATATAATAATATTGTAGTGTTATAGTATAAGTGCTAGCAACGTTTTCGAGAGAGAATGGTGGAACAGCGTGCGGGCCTTCAGAACAGCATATTACCTTCCCCGGCTGCTATAACTGTCTGTAGACGTCGGTTCATACTGTTAATATGGCTGTAAATAGATTGTGTTATGTTTTCCCTTTCTTCTTCAAGAACCAAACGAATATTCATAATTTCGGCCATGGTTAACAAGATCAATGACTTTTGCACAATCCACGACACTAAAAACCATGTTCAATCTACACAACAATAGTCACCAAAGCCACGTCGTCATTATGAAGAATAACATCAAAAAGTAACGATAAGTAATTGAAAAAATTGCAAAATGGTTGTGGCAAGTGCATTTTGATCTTAAAAATTAACCAAGACATGTGTTGACATGAGTCAAAAAACAAAATATTCAGAAGGCATGGTTCTGACCGAAAAATTATGTTTTAGCAAATTTCCTGACAGAATTATTGCACAGGGTGTTTTAAAGGTAGGGTAAAAACAACTCTTAAAAAATTGATATATTTATATACAATAGGGTGTCCGATATTTACCAAGTTGATCATTTCTCTCACGACGAACCTCTAAATTTTTAGCTTATTGTCTAAAAAAAATAACAGACCATTTTAAACCCTTAATATTCACAATAAACCTAGCCCCAAAGACGATTCATTAAATGATCAATTTTCTCATTTAAATTACATGGGAATTTGCCACTTTTTGCAAATATTTGTTTTTCTCTTGATTTTCTTCTCTCGCAGCCATGACAGCATACATTCTTGTACAGAATTGAACGCTCTACAGAAAAGGTATCTTACAATTTTTCGATAAACCTACTCCTTCAAAGTAATTCCTACCATTTTAGTATAGCTGATACTTAAATCAGTTTAAATAGTTTAAACTTCACTAGACTTGAAGATTTCTTAATTCCCAACCTTAGCACCATCAGAATTGTATATTTTGACAGTAATATATTAAGTTTTTCAAAAATAATCACAATTTTGCCAAAAAAGTTGAAGAATTTAGGAATTTACCGAGTGGTTAATTTTAACCGTGAATAACTTTTGAAGGAGTTGGTTTATCGAAAAATTTTGAGAGACCATTTTTGTAGAGCGTTCAATTCTGTTTAAGAGTAGGTAATTATTATGGCTCCAGGAAGTAGAAAACAAGAAATGAATCGTCTTTGGGGCAAGGTTTATTGTGAATATTAAGGGTTTACAATGGTCTGTTATTATTTTTTAGACAATAAACTAAAAATTTAGAGGGCGTCGTGAGAGAAATGAACCCTAATATACAGGTTGCTAAAAAAATCAAGAAAATATGGCTAAAAATAAAAAAAAATATATAATTTTCTTCACCACTTCACCAAATTTTTTTCTGTTTTTTTTGCATCTGAGTATATAATAATTCTGTAGTATTACAGTTCACGTGGATACCTCATAATAATATTTGTTTGTGTTTAGTGCATCTGGACGATAAATATGTAGTTGATGAAACAAAGTATATCTCAGTTGGAAAACTTTATTAGTATAAAACTCTTAAGCATTTTTTATTATACTGGGTGATTCGCGGCGATGGTAAGATAGAGATTTATGGTTTATTATATATTTATTTTTAGCGTTTTTTTTAAGTGTTGCCGTATCGCTTTAATTGAAGTACCATTTTTGTTATTTGGAATGGAACACTAAGTATATTAATAGATTTTGTAAAACTACTTCCATTTTCCACAAGTTTTCTATTCTAGTATGCTATAATTATCTTTGATACTTTTAAAGATAAAAAATAAAACATGTGTGAAACGAAATAACATGACATAAAAAACATGATCTTGAACAAGCATTGGTTAAATCGTGAATTCGGCATATTGAAAGCTGAACTTTGGTTTAGAGATTAAAGTAAGACGATATATTCGATCTTTCTAAAGCAACCGATTGAATATCGCACAGGGAGAAAAAAATTGCTTAAATTTTGGTTATTTTAAATTCGGTTCACCGAGGGCGCGATTATTAAATTCATTGTTGCCAACCATGAACATATTCGGCGCCGGGCTGACTAATTGGAATTTAAATTTCCCGCTCACGATTCAGGTGGAACACAGCCGTAAAAAATATCAGTTGCCACATTTATTTATTTATTTCCTGACATTGTTATTCGTTTTAACGCTTTAGTTTTGTATTCCAGTTTTTGGTTTAAATAAATTATGTTGAGACACATTAAGCTTAAATTTTTTTACTAGAAGACCGAGAAAAAGCTGGCAGAGAAAAGTTGTTAAATTGAAAAAATTTTAGAATAGTTTTTAGTGCGAAGTGTACAAGATTCCGAAGCAGCTTAACAGCCGTTGCAAAAAAACTTTCTTTTCCAACTGAGATTTATTTTGTTTATTTTAGAAGAAACAAAAATAGTTGACGCAAATATAAAAATAATAAACTATTATTTAAATGCAAGTAAGATATTAAAGAAGTAAATATAAAATAATTCTAGGGCTACTTTAGACTTCATTTTTTTCTTCCGCACCTCAGTGTTATTAAGAAGATATCGATAAAACTACAAAAGATGCATTTTTAAAATTAATTCTTATATCCGATAGATTTAGGAGAAATACATAAAAAAAACATTTTTATGTAAATAGAATAGCTAATTTATAAAGTTTTGAGGTAAAAAAGTAAAAATTCTCCAAACTAGGAACTATTCAGTCCTGTCTTGTTTGCTTTTTAACCTCAAACTAGAAAAAATGGAAACCATTTGTGCCTTTTTAGACCGAAATTTTAAAAG